AGAGAGAGAGAGAGAGAGAGAGAGAGAGAGAGAGAGAGAGAGAGAGAGAGAGAGAGAGAGAGAGAGAGAGAGAGAGTTTCCATCGATAGGATGAGCAACGCACCGGCCAACAATTCATTTGCTTTTGCTCATCCTACGGGTGGAAGTAGCGTGAGACCAGTGGCGGGGTTTATCCACTGCCAGAAGTAGCGTGAGACCAGTGGCGGGGTTTATCCACTGCCACAGCATGGAAATATACACTGCCAAAGACCGAAAATGTGGCAGTGTATATTTCCATGTTCTAGCGACAGATCCACTGGGGTTTATCCACTGCCAGAAGTAGCGTGAGACCAGTGGCGGGGTTTATCCACTGCCACAGCATGGAAATATANTAGCGACAGATCCACTGGGGTTTATCCACTGCCAGAAGTAGCGTGAGACCAGTGGCGGGGTTTATCCACTGCCACAGCATGGAAATATACACTGCGTCCTTCGGGACATCCGTTAAAATTGGAATGATACAGAGAAGATTAGCATAGCCCCTGCACAAGGATGGCACGCATAAATCGAGAAACGGTCTAAATTGTGGGAAAAAAAAAAAAAAAAAAAAAACACTGCCAAAGACCGAAAATGTGGCAGTGTATATTTCCATGTTCTAGCGACAGATTCATTCCCATTTTGCTCTATGGATGGAAAACTCGCTCTCTCTCTCTCCTCACGGGGGCCAACATTTGCATCTGACAGCTCCATAGTCCATACACACACCGGGATTTCTTTTCAATGTATCTGTCCGTCGCGGTGTATCTTCCTATGTTCTTGAGAGAAGAGCAAGTCGTGCAAGGACGTGGAGGAGGTCGCACCAGAGGGAGGAGGCCGTGGCACAAGGGGAGGAGGTCGGAGGAGGGGAAGGAGTGGGTCGTGCAAGTGGAAGGAGGAAGTAGTGGGAGGGGCAGGAGCAGGTCGGACGAGAGGTTGCAGGAGGTCGTGCGGGAGGGGGAGGAGGAGGTAGTGTCCGGTAGGGGTACATTGCAAAGATGGGGTCCAACTGATGGCTGGGGTGTTTCACAAAATGTTTTTGTCATTGTCGGTCTGCGGCAGGTCCACTTGTTCTTATAAAATAAGAAGAAAAAAAAGGAACCGACCCTAGGCCTAGTTGATAGGTATGAACATGGCGTAAGGACGAAAAAAAGGGACCCCTCTGCAGAAAAGGCAGAGCCCTAACCCCTGTCTAGTATCCCACCTCTACAACAACCTAGGCTTCCGGAGTTAGGTATGAACATGCTACTACAGGTCTTCCTGAGGGTGCTCAGSGACTTCCGGAGCCTAGTTGATAGRTWAGTTGRTGTCCTAGTTGATAGGTGAGTTGATGTCCTAGTTGATAGGTGAGTTGATATCCCAAGTGATAGCCTAGTTATATTTAGGGCTAGGGTGAACTGTTGGTTTAAACCACCATTACACCCAGCCATTCTTTTCCGATGTGGCCCTCCATGCACCTCGCCTTTGGGGTTCGGCCTACTGGAGCAAAATGGCTGCACATCCCTCCATGCTCCTCGCCTTTGGGGGTTCGGCCTACTGGAGCAAAATGGCTGGCTGCAGCAGCCCAAGAAGTGCTTGAGCAGGTTCGTGTTTTGGGCGTGCAGGGGGGGATCTGCTTCGGCAAAAGGAAGCCTTCAAGTACCCGTCATTAAAAAAAAAAAAGTGGGTGCATGGGATGGTGTTTTGGGTCCCCGGTGCCCACCCAAAAGTACCAGAGTGATTTTTGGGAAATCACGGGGCGGCTATCGGCCCCTCTGAATGTGACTCTTTCAAAGCAAGTAGTACTCCTGAGCCATTTCTCAGACATCCCTCATCAGCAAACTAATCATGCAGACTACCGTCTTCCCCCGAACATAAGGCATGCCCTTTATGGCCACACCGATGTTCTGGGGAAGATGGTAGCTCCAGAAACGCGCGCCCTTTATGACTGTACTGAACCGGAAAGATAGCTTGTATACATTCATTATCAGAGTGCATTATGTTCTCGGGAAGACGGGCTGCATGAGGTGGTAGGAGATAAAAAAGGCGACCCTATTCACTCTTCCAACAGAAAAAATGTGTGAAAATTCCAAGTTGTTGTCAAGCTGGAAGAAACATTCATATAGGGGAAGGGGTGCGTTATACTGTTTGTCTGAGGTCTTTGCGTGTGTTCAACTGTTTGCCAACATTGGCCATTAGTATTTCAACAAGCTTTCACCAAAATGATTCCAACATGGCGGTTATAGTCTCCCTCGCATTTCATAACAGCGACGGAAACTCACTAGTGCAGGCTACCATCGCTTTGCACGAAGGTCATAGGATTGAATGTGGCACGCAGTAGTGACGTGGTAAAATACGAGGGCTGAGTATTCAGGTTTTCAGAGCTGTTAGAGTCCATGTCAAACTGAGGCGTGAAGTTGCTGAGGATTGTAGACTACATCCAGCGTCGACCTGGTACGCTGCAAGGATCCTCGAAGACAAGGTGAACAGGTCGAACATTTCTTGGGCATTCAATGAAATGGAAAGTTGTGGTCCGATTTTCTAATGACTGAACAAATGTTCATGCTTAAGTGCTGTGTGCATCAGCGGGGAAAGTGAAATGGGGAAGATGACATATAAAATTTGTCTAATAATGTACGATCTTAATTAGAAAGCGATTTCAGGCGGTATCTTGTATATCTTTGTTTCAAAAGCTATTTAACAAGAGAGCCTGGTAGAGCATGTCGGTGCTCTCACGACGGATAGCTTTAGACAGGGGATGTCTCCTGTCAATGGGGCTGAATGACATGGTAGGGTAGGGTACGGTAGGGTAGGGGATGAAAAGGCGACTCTGCTGACCATTCAGATCTTGATATGTCTGGTGTCCTTGATTGGCAAACCTGACTAGGGCAATTAGCTTCTGGCAGGATATTTATCTCCTCAATAGGGTGTTATGTAAATTGTGTAGGCACAAGGTTACACATTTTGTGCTCGCCTTCTTTTCTTTTTTCCATGCATAATTGGTGGCCTGGTCCCCCATCCGGTCATTCCAGGTCCGGTCATGTTTGGATGTTGTCCGGGCCTTGTCCGGAAAGCCAGATGTCCGCACAAGTCCGTTTTTTTGTCCAGTTCTGTTGAGTGTCTGGGTTGGCGGTTACCATGATTGCTTTTGTCCAAATTATCCAGAGAATTATTTGTTGAACTTTTGGTTATCGATTTATCACAGGCATTCAGATTTTTATTTTTATTTTTTTATTTTTTTTCTTCTTAAATGGGGCCCAGTGCCCAAGGCTTAAGATTTATAATTTGGTACCTGAGGCCGGGGTCCGCACAGTCTACCCGGCGTTCAGAATTCAAGGCTTAATGAGTACCAAATTCTTCATCCAGCTCAAGGTTATTGTTATTATTTTTTCGGAATTTTGATTCCGGAGTAGATTCGGGGTCTCAACCCTGATTAGGCATTGCGATAGAGCCATGATTGTCAGATTGACGGTTTCTGACTAGAATTCAACCACGCACACCCACACACCCACACACACACACACACACACAGAGAGAGAGAGAGAGAGAGAGAGAGANACACACAGAGAGAGAGAGAGAGAGAGAGAGAGAGAGAGAGAGAGAGAGAGAGAGAGAGAGAGAGAGAGAGAGAGAGAGAGAGAGAGAGAGGATGGAGCTCTTGGACTCCTTATGCTATCTGACTGCGTTGTCCCTACTTTTTGCTTTTGTGGGTACAGGTGCAACTTCTTGTTGGAGTTCTTGAAAATTTAAGACTTTTTCTTATCTGTATTTACAAGCAGATTCCTTTTGAAAACGTTTTATTTGTATTTAGGAGTTAGTGCAGTTCGTTAAAATGGACTCTAACACAACTGGAGAGGCACAATTTTGATGCCAAAGAAAGAGAACAATTGATTTCATGTATGAACTTGAGAGGAGAGAGAAGTGGACACGTTACACTGACTGGAGAAACTCTGCTGAAGCATAATCATAATTGCTCGGATTAATATGTGATTATCATATATTTGTATGTATCATTCTTTTTTTGCAGGCACCGAGCTAATCTTCTCTGTATATGATATATCGGAGGTTCTGAATGATGCAGTGCAGTGATTGGAGATCCGCACAGAGGGAAGCAAAATTGGTAGAGAGGAGTTTGACTGGGTTGGAAGAAAGCAAACTGGCAGATTGCCCTTGAAATCATTACCCAGGGTAGTTCCTCAAGGGTTGGGAAAACCAAAAGGTTGGTTACAGTAGCTTCAGCAGCAGTGTTGCTTTTACCGGGTTGGCAAAAGGAACATGAGACTTCATTTGGACGATTGAACTGAGATTCTGTGCAGCAAATGTGTGGATTGCAGCACGGAGGAGGCCATACCTTCCTGATTCAGTACACACGGCAAGATTGTTTTCGGAGCTCGTCAGACAATTGCGCATTTCAAGTGATCAGCAAATGTTGAGGAATGCGACCGTGTTTGTCTGGACAGTAGAGAGGCGCCTTAACCCACCAGTACTTGGCCCAGCTATTGGCCGTGGAAAAAAAAAGAGTAGAAACGTTTCTACTTGGATGAATTTGGGCGCTCCTGTAGTGCCCCGTACATTTCCTAAAATCATGGCGCGCAGCCCACATCCTCTGAAACCTAAAGAGGCGCCTTAAAAGACCAGTAGCCCACATCCTCTGAAACTCGTGGTCGTATACGTGCCTCAAGTGTCAAAACACGTCCGGCGGTACTGGTACTTTAAACAACTGGTACCTCTGCCAGTGTTGGGAAAATAGGGGAAAGTGGCCGTTCTCCCAAACTCCTAAAATTTCGGAGACCGGGCCCGCCGACGGCTTCCATTGATAAATCTGATCGGTGGCCGTTGTTTCGTTTCGGCCTCCAAAAAGGTCGAGGGCCCACCCAAGGCCCGCTATTTTCCCACGCGGCAGAGGTACTTCGAGCCAAAACCAGTCATCATGGTTGGTGTCATGATCATTACATCAAGGGTCGGAAGCACCCCTGAAGTCTCGTCACTGCGTCTGAGATGCGACAAGCGTGAGGACTGCAGTGCAAATTACGCTGCTGCTCCTGCGTCTTCAATCCATGGAAGCATTCCCTCTCGGCTTCCATGCGCAGACGGCCATGCTGTCCACTGTGAGCTAACCCCTGCAAGTTCATCCTTGACCACAAGGCAGTTGTCGAAGGTATATGCTGTGGACAGGGGATACCGTGCTTCCAGTCTTGGGAACCGTCTTTTCGGCAGACATGGCGACCTTGAAAGTGTCCCTTCTCCGAGGAACCACGAGTTACTTGGCCGACGACGACGAGGGCACTTCAAGTTGTGCTCATCGTGTATCTGCAGCCTTGTTGATGACAATGGCTGCTGGTTTTCGCAAACTAGCTCAAACCACCTCTACTCTGCATCAGGGGTGTCTTTGGTTCGAGCAGGCAACATTGCCACCACATCGATCGATCCCGAGGAGACCGCTGCAGTAAAGATTGAAAGAGAGAAGTTGAAGTCAAAATTGAAATCTCTTGTTGGTGACGATGAAGCAAGGGTGTTGAGGCCGTTGAGTGAGGAAGCGCTGGCGTTGATCTCCGATCTGGAGCCTCTGTCCCTGGCACTGTTTGCTTCTAGTGAGATATTCAATGGGAAGTTCCAATTACTGGGGTGCAGTGTAGCGCTCGGTGGTGGTGGCCCACTCTCTCTCTCACAACTGACCTTTAATGTGTACCCAGTTTCCGAACTAACCGTCCAGATTACAGGTTGTTTCAATTGGGTGGAAAATTCCAAGAACGCCGTGGTGACAACATTACTGATTTCAGCGGGGAATGATGATGCCCATCCAGCAGTCTCTGGTGTGAGTATTGTATCTGGATCAATTGAGTTGAGTGACCAATGTTCGCATGCTAATGATGCTATACGATTTGCCGCCATTTCACTGGAGCCAGGGAACTCAGCAACTGAAGAGGAGTTGCACATCTGGAAGAGTCTTCTTGCACCTTACTGCCCTGATATGGATAACGAAGGGGCAGTAGTGCGCCAACTGAGGCAATCAGGCTCAAATGAGGTACTTTTCCATGACGAGGAATTACGTATTGTAAGAGGAAACATGAAACGCATCTATGTGCTAAGGAAGATGGCCACAGATGATCCGAGCTGGCCGTCCCGGTTAATAGCCTGAAATGGCATGGTGTCCACAACTTTCCACTAACTTAGAGCCAGCATTGTTTACGGATGGGAGTTTTTTTCTTTTTTTAACTAAGGGATCATAGTGTACCCGAGCCAGGACAGGTCAGGCTGGTCATCCACAAAGGGCTTCCTAGCCAGTGTTGCCTAGGCCAGGTGATCAGTGGGGGCTGAGAATGAACTTATTTAGGTGTATGTTATGACTTCTGACCCCTAACTACTTTCTCCTTACGTCTTCCTCTTCGTTCTCCCCAAGGGGTATCTCCTTTTGTTTTTTTTCTATATATCACAAACAGCTCCATCTATTGGTGGGGAGCATCACCTGCTGGAAAACGGGTCCAGCGTCCCTTGAATACATGAATACATAAATGCATGAGTACAAGATGAGATGAAATACCATTGATGTCTGTGGTGTCTGTACAGATGTGTGAGCTGCCTAGAATTGCCTCAGAGTCTTCACCCCATAGAGGGCGCCTAATCTGAAAATCTGGCATATTACCAGCAGCCCACTTTTCTTCCATAAACTGAAGTCCAAGTCATGCCTCCCCCAGCCCATACCAATCTAAGCCAACAAGTGTCATCTCAGAAGGAGGGAAAAGGACTGAGAAATAACTGGGGATCTGAGGGAAGCCTGCTTGGAGACTGTGTAGCCTGCCTTTTCCAAGTTTTCCTTCCATCCGACTTATTTACTTTTCTCCTCCTAGTACCTCTAGATAGAACCGGGAAGCCTGTTTGGAGACTGTGTAGCCTGCCTTTTCCTTCCATCCGACCCTTTTCTTTTCTCCTCCTACCTCTAGATAGAACCGCACCAACTCAACGGCACAAGACTCAAGGAAGACGGTGGGAGTAATTCAGGAAAATCCGAGAGTGGTCGTAGAGAAATTTCGTGATCCAAGTTTGTCCAGTCAGTGCAACAAATTCTGTCATTTCTGCATATCTGTTACATACCCAGTTGGGCGATGTATGTAAATAGCCAAGGATCTGCAATGTGATGAAAAAGGGCTGAATGGACAATGCAGTGCAAGTGAAATCTCAACATTGTCAAGCAATGTACATCCTGATACATACAAAATGGCGCCTTGTGGCGCAGCGGAAGACTTAGATATAAGCCCTGACCTGACCGGGACTGACCTCTCTCACGTAGTGCAAGACAGCGCAGCAGAATGCTAGAATACCAATGACTAGCCCAATCAATATCGCAGTACAGACCAAACATACGTCATCTTCATCCCAAGGTGTGAAGGGGCCTGGCGCTACACACAGGAAGAATGCGCCAGGTCCAGACCATACACAGACGAAGAGGAGGGAATCAGACGAAGAAGAAGGGGGGGAGATGGGAATGTCGTCAACACCAAGTCTTCGTTACAAGTCCCAGATAATCCCTCGTCAAATGTCTGGATCCAAATGTCACCAAGCCCACTCTCTCATAGTCTGCTGATGCAGTGGAGTCAGGTAGCGAGAGGGTGAGAGGGAGATGGTGGACTGAGAAGAGGAAGAAAGAACTCTCTCTCTCATATGCCAGGTACTAACCTGTGTAGATGGCGCTGTGCTGCAGACCGTGCAGGTACCTCGAAGACGAAGCTGGAGCTATGGCGCTGCATGTAAGTCTCCCTGGCCTCCGCCCAATCTCTCTCTCTCTCTCTCTCTCTCTCTCTCTCTCTCTCTCTCTCTCTCTCTCTCTCTCCAGTACTACCCTAGCTCCTACTAGCGCCCACCGCTGAAGACTACTGCTAACGCTACTAGCGCCCAGCGCTGAAGACTACTGCTAATGCTACTAGCGCCCAGCGCTAAAGACTACTGCTAATGCTACTAGCGCCCAGCGCTGAAGACTACTGCTAGCGCTACTACTACTCCTGCAGCGCTCCTCCAGAGTGCTGCTGCCGACTCCTGAAGACTACCTCCTGCCTCCTGAACTGCACGTGAAGTGCCTGGGAAGTATCTAGGAACTACCTGCAGCCTGCAGGGCGGGCCAGTCCTATATAGTGCTGGCCCCTCCAGGAGGCTGCTCTTGCCAATGCGGAAATGTGCCAGACCCTGGCGTTGAAGCTCAACCAAGGGTTGTGTTGAAAACAGGCCCAAAATGGCCAGGCCAGTCCTATATAGTGTTGGCCCATCCAGGAGGCTGCTCTTGCCAATGCGGAAATGTGCCAGACCCTGGCGTTGAAGCTCAACCAAGGGTTGTGTTGAAAACAGGCCCAAAATGGCCTGTGCTAAAACCCTGGTCTGGTGCCTGAGTTTCAAGGCAGGTCGATCTCATGAGGGCCTGAAAATGGCCCTCTGTTTCAGGCTGAAAAGACTCAGGGCCGGAAAGACCCTGTTTTAGGCTAAAACGACACAGGGCCTGTAGGCCCTTGTTTTCATGTTTTGAGGCCCAAACGACACAGGGTCTGTAGGCCCTTGTTTTTAGGCTTTCGGACTGAAAACGACACTGGCCTGAAAATGGCCCGTGCAGCCTGTTGCAGGCGCAGCATGTAACAATATCTGAGCCTGACTCTCATCTTGGTTTTCATCCCCTGCCCCATTCCACTTAATTTCTCCCATCTTTCCCCCCCGGGGTCCCCCGAGCCAATCGCCACAAAATTGTTGGATATGTTGTCTGATTTTTTTTTTGGTGGATATGAATTTTGTTTTTTCCTTGATATTTTCTCATTCTGATGTGATGTCAATCTGTACTTGTTGTTTGATCGAGTCTGTAAATTCCGGCCCATCAAGCCTGGCCCCTTCCAACTCATAAATACAACGTCTACGCCATAACGCCCAAATGATTGCTCTCCTTCCTGCTTTATACATATTGAGAGAAAGGTGTCTGTCAAGGAGGGATCCCAGGTTTCACAGAGCAGAGCTTTCCAATTCCAAGGCCATGTTTCATGGGTCCCTAGATGATTCCATATTCTATCCCACCATCTCCATAGCCAGATTGCCCCTGGGCATCTCAAGAAAATATGTTCAATGGTTTCTGGAATATTTCGAGATGGAAATGCCGAGGCACAAAACTTACACCATGGTAAGGCCAAACCCTTATGTTCCAAGGAGGTCCTATTAATAAGCCAGTCATTTGTTGGTAGGCAGCGATGGTCGATCTGCCGTTGCAGTGACGCCACTTTGGCTGGCTTAAATTTAATAGTTTTAAGCCATTTAATGGGGTGTAAATCTTCTATGTTCAATTGTTTCATCCATCTAGCCTGGATTCTATCCCTCAAATTCAGTCTAGGCCTGAGCATCCGAAGTAGATTTGACTGTTAGAGTATGTAACTTTTGGACATATAAGGGGTATCTCCTAACATTAAAGTACTCTATACACAAAAAAAAAGAAAAAAAACACAATGTTATAGGGTTTGAACTTTGAACTTTGAACTTTTGAGCCTTGATGAAGTCTTGCTGATCAGCAGTTATTGTGTGTCATTAAGCCACGTGGCAGGTTGCCACAAACAACATTTGGCTCGGCGGTCCTGAAGTTTGGTTTCCACTACTGTCCACAAAGAAACTGTATTAAACCACCAGCACTTGGCCCAGCTATCGGTCGTGGAAAGAAATAGAGTAGAAACGACATTTCTAGTCGGATGAATGGTGGACACTTCTGTAGTGGCATGTACATTTCCTAAAGTCGCGGCTTGTTGATGGGCACGCCGTTGTCGAGCGTATCGGCCCCCACGCGAGCGAGGGCTCTCCTGGCCGCGTCACTCAGGAGAAACTTAGGCTTTTAACTTTTTAGAGATAACTCAGGGACGACATGGTAACCCGCTCCGACCCTTCTCCACTCCGGCCGAGTGCGCCAACTGTACATCCCGCGGTCCCCTACAACAGGATAGATTCTCGCGGGGCACAACTTACCTTCCCTAAGGGGCTGTCACCACCCTTAGGCTGTGTAACCGGCTGAATGCGCTGAGCGCGCGTCCACGTTCAAACGCGCGCGTTCATACCCCCCGGGGCCGCGTTCAATCGCGTTCAAACGCGTTGCGCGCCACATTGGCACGAAAAATTTGAACCCGACACCAGGGGGCGCGTGCGCGCGTTGCGGACTACGGGGTGGAGGGCCTCGTTCAACAAACCACGAAAGTGCAACCCCCCCCCCCCGGGAGGCCCACCACTTCGTAGGGAGCGGCGGCGCTGCTTAAGGGGGGGCTGTGGGCCAATGCCCCAGACAAAA